TTTTGTATTTTTTTTTGTTTTTGGGGGAGGGGGGTTGTGTATATATATATATATATAGACATTCTCTGTGTTAACACTCATAAAATGTTCTCTCCTTTATTATTTAAATTATTATATGGGGATCAGGTCTCAGACAGTTATTCAGAGATAGCATTTGTTCGGCTTAGTGATCTGGGTTCTGAAATTAAATATTACAGCAGACTGATTTATGTAATAAAAATTACACTGTCATAACCAGTTGCATCTACTGTCTTCAGCACCACTTCTGAACCTTGCACATATACCATTCCACAAACACTCACTTGAAAAACAGAGAAGAAATTAACAAATGCGAGCAGCTTTGTTCATAAAAATGAATGTTACCAATTAGCTGATAACCACTTAACCTTGGAAACTCAAAAATGGAACCATATATGAACTTTAATGCATGCAGATAGAGAATCATGACTCATATCCAGCATTACAGCATTTCATTAGTATGCATGTTACCACTCATATCAAGACAGAAATTAATACGTTTGTAGTGTTAGCTGACACACATCAACATACAGTATATTCCACTGGCACATAACCATCCCAGAGACCCACTTCCATGCCACACACAATCAGAAACCAACAAACATCTCATCTGGCAACATAAAAAGAACGCTACACGGACAGTAATATTTGATTTACAGCAACAACTTTGATATCTAGTACATATCCATTAACCATACTAACTACTCACATTAAACGTCTGCTGTAGCGAGCAGCACAAAGAAGAATGAGTGCACTATTTTCTTAATTCATGCATACGAAAGAGCATTATGTATGTAAATATCTTCAGTCTAACATCAATTACAATTTTACAGATTTTTAATTATCTACTGTAAGTTGCCATTATGAAACAAAAATTAACAACAAATTGCAATAAATTAATTTTTTAATCAAAGCGTTAACATTAGAGTTGGTGCATTAAACTAGAACATCCTTAATTTGTGTTCTGCTACAAAGGGAGAAAGTTTAATAAATATGCCATGTCATTATGTTCCCTTGAAATCCTAGGCCCCTTACACTAATTTCATGACAATCAAGATAAAGTTCTCCAAAACCAACAAATACAGCCATCTTCAATCCCATCATTCTTTAAATTGTTTTGGCTGAAATGGCATGTTTATAAAAAATGTTACTAAAAACAGTTACAATTAAATGAATGTGATTTAAACCAATGGCACCAATTATGCCATTTTATTAGTACCCAACACTAACAGAACAAGATTTCTAATCATATATGGATAAATGATAAAGGCAAATATTTTGATCTGCTACACCTGTCCATTGATACAATCCATTGAGTCATTTTGCGTTTGTGTATAAAGCCAATTAACGTCATACCTCATACTATTTGCTTACAAGTCCTTATACTTTCCTTCTATTTGAATTTTCATTTTAAATCATTCATGGATATGTTAACACCTACATTCACATTCCGATTTTTGACAAGCATTAATGAAACTGCCAACTCACCAACACACTGCCCACTGTGGATATTCTTAAGGTAGCCTTCATCACAGTCAAGGTGTGTGGGACACTTTTCACAAGGATGACCCCATGCTTGACCCACTGTGGCACAACACAGCTGTTTTGTACAAACCACTCCTTGTAGTTGACCCTGACACATCTCATTCTTCACTCTGGTAAAGCAGGGCCCTGTCCGATAGTCTGTTAATAAGAATGCATGTGACATGCAGCAATGAGAAAGTGAACAGTTTGCACGGAGCAGTGTCAAGTTATCACATTTCATGTCCATACCACTCTATTAGACTGGCTGCCAACCAATTCAAACTAATTTTGACGTAAGATTTAAAGTTCTCTTGGCAATGAAGATATTGATCATGGTTTTCTGGCTTGTGATGCCATGTCTTGTAAGTGATAACCAACATTTTGTAGAAACACTGCTGATCACCTATAAAAACAGTGTCACAACCCAGAAGACCATGACACTTTCTGGTTCCTTCCTGTTGGTATACAATGAGTATCAGACTCACAGAAATAACATGGGAGAATCATTGATGTCAGACATTGTTCAACATGTTGCAGTACTGAGTTAGAGATGATCAAAAACACAATTTTGAGTCATTATGGCCAAAGTAAACTGCTTGTTTATAAGAAGCTTCAATCCCTCATCTGTAAGGTTTTGAATAACTATTTATCTTATATGTATATATTTTCCTTCTTAAAAGCATAGTCTTGAGTTCAACATTTAAAAGATTAGGTCATATTTCTTCTTCATCATAAATAGTAACTGAGAATCATTTTGTTAATCTCTCTTCATGTATTTAGTCTATGTGCTGTGTCTAATTTTGATTTTAGTATAAATTAATTTTGTTTCATGTAGGAAACATAATAAAATCACAAAATAAAATTTCAAAAATTAAGGTCATGCAGCCACTAAAATTATGGTTTAAATGTATCAGTCAAATAGATTAAAACAATTGTAAAAATTATACACACTGGCTAATGCAGTTGTAAGAAATGCATACAATTTTTACAATTGTTTTAATCTATTTGACTGATACATTTAAACCAATAATTTTAGCAACTACTTGACCTTCAGTTTCTTAATTTTTTTAATTTCTTCATTTTATTCTGTGATATAGAATTTAAGATAATATCAAAACCACATGTAATTCTGATTCAGAATAAGAAATTTATCTTCAGGGCCTGAAGATGATCCAGTAAGAAAGAAACTTGTCGCCCTAATAATATTTCAATGGTAATAAATATATTGCATGTGATGGAATCTCTGAAAAAAAAAGCATAAATAATTACCTGCTTCACATCTTCTTCCCGTAAATCCATAGATACAAGCACATCTGTCCGGCCCAATACACCGACCACCATTCAGGCAAGGTTCTTGACACACCGCTAATAATAAGGAGTATTAATTAGGGCGTATCATAATAAGTGAGTGTTCCAGTGATACAAACCAACATCACTTATGAATCTACAACACTTAATAATGATTTCTGAATGCAGATATATTGATTCATGTAAGACTTGAGGTTCTCACAGTGGTGAGTATGAAGATTTCTGTCTTCTGGGTTGTTGCGCTGTGTAGTCTGGTCGATGTTAACCAACGTTTCAGAGGTCATACTGCCTCCGTCATCAGGGCGATGAGCCATCACCTTGATGACAGAGTAAGTAGTCTTCCAGACTACACAGTACAACATTAAAGAAGACAGTCAGCTTCAGGTATTTTAATATTTACATAAAGTAAAATTTAAATTAACGGTGTAGGGATGTAGCAACCCCATCGCCCAGTGGGATGCCACTGCAATCAGCCACCCGAGTACTGGCGGGAAAACCAGAATCACAGAGGTGGTAGGAAATGACCAACCTCAGCCTCGACACAGAGGACGGCCAGCCAGGTGGCTTAGGAGGCAGCCCCTCCAAACCTGGCAACCAGTCGTTGGGACAATCACCCACACTTGGTTTTAAATATGATTCAGAGAAACAAAGACTGTTCGGCCAGACAGCTTCCATGGACAGAATGGAGCAACCAACCCCGACGCTATAAAGGCAAAAAGGGAGATGAGAAAGAAGAAGAAGAAATTTAAATTAAAATAAGCTTAAATAAATAATAAACTTACGTTCTCCACAGAATTCACCTTGATAGCCAGGTCTACACACACATTTAGAACCACTACAAGATCCTCCATTTAAACAAGCTGTTGGGCATGTACCACCATCTCTCCCATCTGAAAGACGCATGACAATGCTGTACATGAACCAGTTTTACAATAAAAGTAAGTGAATGTCTTGTACCTACATGAGGAGAAATATGTATCTACAAAGACATTCTTTACCTTGAAGTAAAATTTCTCAAAAATGGTGCACCACACATAAAGATGTATAGCATACTTATGACATTTTCTACAAATCTGATCTGAAAAAAAAAGCTGTTGAGTTATAGAAATGCAGCCCCTTTTCTATGTCCATACCACAGATAACTCAGATATGTTTAATGGAAGGTATCTAGTACCATAATTTATTGAATTAAGTAAACATTAAATAATAAAATGTTAATAATTGCATTTTAATTAATTACTTAGTTTAGACAACACAACAAATGTGATTCTGTTGTCTTCTTTCCTTTACATTTCTTCAAAAATTTCCTACTATGAGACCAGTAAATTAATATGTTGTCTATGATATAATTTGAAAAATTGTGGTTTCATAGTTAATTCTAGAGTTAAACCACAACAGAAATTCCATATTTGTTTTTAAGTCCTTCATTATGAAATTTTGTGGTTTCCTTCACTAACTGAATTTATCAAAGCTTCATTGTCAACATGGACCATTTTCCATTCAGACACTCTATGCTTGTTTCTGCAATTTCTTGCACAGCCTTCTCACTGATTTTATTGCACAAACTTCTAGGCCCACCAGTCATGTACTCTTAACGTTATATTTAAGCAATGTGAATTTATAATCCAACAATACAATACAATGTAGTCTTCTGACTTTTTGTATCATGTAGTCTGCATGAATTTTGAGGTACTTTCTGGCTCTATTATCATGTTTCTCCATCATTGCCCTGATGACGGAAGCAGCAAGAACCTCTGAAACGTTGGTAAACTTCCAAAACTAACAGCAACAACCCAGAAGTCAACTTCATATCTGCTGCCGTGTGGACTTCAAATCTCACTTGGAGACAGTAAGTTTCTCTGAAATGTCAGTCCACACATAAAACAGCAGCAGGAGTAGAAACAGAAGTAGTAGTAGTAGTAGTAGTAATTAGAATAGCAGTAGTGATTGTAGTAGCAAAAGTAATATTTTATCTTTTAGAACAACATATTACGTAACAAAGATTGTGCCTATTTTAAATTTATTCGATCTAACCTCAAAGTTTGCCCGTCGTTAAGTTTGTATTTGTTGACTTTGAATTAAAATGTTACACGTAATTTAAAAAAATGTTTATAGTCTATATTAATACAAAATTCCATATTCCTAGCCTCCACGGTTTATTAGTTATTGCTGTCAAACAAAAAGTTAAATTAGCTCTTCTTACTGCCGCCATATTGTTAAACATTCTTGTAACGATAACGAAATATCTGACAGAGTAATGCATTCAGAAATCCAGCACTGTTTTTTCAGTCAACACCCGATGCCATCTATCCTATTTTTCAGAACAGTATGATCAACATATAAAACAATTACTGTGTCCCGTGTTTGTATAATTGTGTAATATGGTCTCCTACATCGAAGGAAAGAACATGACTTAAAAATACAGACCGATACAGCAACGAAGTTATAAAGTCAACAGTCTGTGTGTACCCGATACAGCGATTCCAATAGATATGGAATAAATGAAGAGTAAAGAAAATTAAGTACGTTATAGGAATAACACGTAGGGAACATGTTCTTCCGAAACGTTGGTATACATATACCCCGCCCCCCACCCGATAAAAGATCAAATCCTACATTGATAAAATGTGTGTGAATTATTTTACTGAATTGCGGGACAGTGTTATTCTGTTTTCCCACGAAATAACACAGAATGACCCTACAAACTAACAAGCATGCCGAAGCTTCAAAATCTCCAGAACTTCAGTGGCTGAAATTCGCTATGTACTGCTACTAATGCTAGAGTGATAACCGCAGAATACAGCACGACGTCAGGCAAACAGTACGACAGTGATGCTGGTTGGGTTGCCTACGGTGAGTGGCGAAGCCTCGTTGATGCAAATACGAGAATGTGGAAGTCTGAGTAGAAGCATGAGAAGTTTCAAAGTGTAACTGAATTTTTATCATGTTAAATAATGAAAACTTCCATATATATATATATATATATATCGAACTTCACCTTATAATGCAAATACAGTGTGACCAAAAATTGTATTTTTGTCTACGTTGATAGCACGGACCTATGAGAGTTCTTTACTGTTCAGCAGTGTAGATAATGTAAATATACGTAAATGACCACTATTTGAATTGTCACATGGATATCGCATTCACAAGCTCTTTCACTGTGCTCGCAGTTAGTCGGCTAGAGTTATGTGGATCTTATTCTCAAGTATACAGCCAACCATTGACTGAGGAAATAATCTGGAAATTACAGGTAGAATAAATTCTACTTTTTCCTTCCTACAGCCTCTCGTCTTTCAGCGGCAGGAGAAAAAGGAGATTCTAAAGCCACGTAATTTTCTGACCTTATCTGGGATTTAGTTCGAAATCGCTGCATTTACTTTGTAACATTTATTTCTTGTAGATGGCACAACCAATGCGTTTGTTCCGAGTTATCCAGTCTCCTGCCATTGAGCAGATATTGAATCAAACGACAACACACATTTTCTGCGTTTATACAAACAGAAAACAAAAATATAGACGCAGTGCACTCCCAGAAGGAAAAGCAAGTTTTACAAACGGCAGCTTGCCGATCTACTTCCACTAGTGACTATGCATACAGTAATTTTCCAATTAAACCTTCTGGCGGCGGAAGAAGCAATGGCACTTGAACGATCCTGTGGGCGTGAAGCAGCTGAGGAAGTGATGGGTGGGGTCAATTCTCCCAAGTCACTGGCTCTTTCTACAAGTATTTAATCCAGACTCAAGGGTTTGACCGAACAGAAATCTTATTGAAAAAGTTCAGAACTTCGTTCTCAGCACAGCTGACATCATGATTTCGCGATGATTACTGCAGAAGACGCTTACATCCACGGGACTACGACGTCTGCTGAACGAGGCAGTAACTCATTTCGCCGTTTTCATTAAACCGACCAATTCTTTACACATTTATATTTATAATCATTTGTAATCTGTATATTAGACTAAGATCTTCCTCGGCCATGACACAGCACAGCGGTTTTTCGCCGGCTCCTCAATGTGGAGGCCCGGGTTTGCTCACAGGGCAGTCCACATGTAATTTATGGTAGACAAAGTGACACTGGGTCAGATTTTTCTCCAAGTTCTACGGATCTCCCTCGTCAGCATCATTCCACCGATGCTCCATATTCACTTATGTGTCATCTGGAGAATGGACAGTTAGCGGCCGCTTTTCCACAAAGACAGAACGAAATTTCTGTAGAATGAGAAGCTTTCGGAAACATGCGCCTTGTTTACTAAATTTAACATTCTATTATGACATTTGATACACGATAGGCTAAAATAACATCATTTCTATGATCATAAGTCAGAAATACGAAAATGTGTCTACAGTAGTGAGAAATTGTTAAGATTATGGCGATTGATCATGTCTACAAACATCAGATAATAATAGGGCTACAATGGATCTGTAAATAAAGTTCTTACATATCCTAAGAAAGCCAACTGGTCATTTTGAATTTGGTATTATACATAATTTCATTCAGAATACCCCCAAAAAGTTATCTCGCATAACAGAAAAACAATTGGAGGAGAAGTAAATGAGTAATAAGTCATCTGAGAATGTTTTGAATTATAGCAAGCTGGGAATCAACACTAAGAAATATAAACCAGTTTCATGATGAAACGAAAAGAAGAATAAGTCCAAAAATGTTCGCTATTAGACATGTTTACTTCGGAAACTGGTATCATCCCAGATGCAATTTCAGTTTCTCACGGTGACGACTATGAAGATGGTCTTCCGGTAGTTTGGAAGACGTTTACCGACGTTTCAGAGGCAATATTTACCAGATGGAGACAGCAAGAACCTCTAAAAATCAGGTACAATACCACAAGGCACAATATCTCAGAAAACATTGATCTCCACATTTGCTGCAGTGAAAACCTGAAATCTCATGTCATATGTCTTCGACATTTTCCAGGAATTAATTATATAAAATACATCTTAATACAGCCTATAATATAGGTGTATAGGTGTGAAATATCGGTATGGCATTAAAAAGGCAGAAAGAGACAATGAAGAAATTGAAGAAACAAATAGAAAGGACGGAAAATAAGGAATAAGGTCTCTGAACGAAGAAGACCTTACCTGGTCTTTGCTGCTGCGACGACGGTGAAGGACATGACGAAGAGACGGTGCCTCCGTCACACAGACAGATGTTGGGCTTGATGCATCGACCAGAGGCGCACGGCCGAGAGCAGATCGCTGTGAATGCAATCAACAAATTCCATTAGGGATACACACAAAAGCAGCGCCAGGCAAGTCCACTCCGTCGCTTAATTTATGGTCACACATTTCGTTCAAACTGACAAAAGAGACGTCCTTGTTGGTTTCCTGCGTTGTAAGGGATTGTTGACTTGTATGTAAATGCCAACGTTTCTAAGAAACATCATGCCTCCATCTTCAGGGCTGAAAGTGGAGGTAGCATGTTCCTTCGAAACGTTTGTATAACCTATACGTGCACATGACGTCACAACGTGGACGATTAATATAGACATTTTCACCGCCGTCAGAAACTCAAAATCGCATAAGCCATAGGAGACATGCATGTGATATTTAATTAACGTATTTGCATCAAAAAGGGAGAAGTTCTTAAACTACAGGATGCTTACACTATAAAATACAAAATATACTTGCATGCTCTATTGGGGGAAGAAGAAGAAGAAGAAGATGACGACGGCGAGGAGGAAGAAGAAGGATTGTAGAATCTGAGGTTTTCACGGAGGTGAGTCTGAAGATGGATGTCTTCTGGGTTGTTGCGCCGTGTAGTCTGATAGAAGTTTACCGACGTTTCAGAGGTCTTTGCTGCAGTATTTACGGCCTCCATCATCAAGGCGATCATCGCCCTGATGATGGAGGCAGCAAGGATATCTGAAATATCGGTAAACTTCTATCAGACTACACGGCGCAACAACCCAGAAGAGGCCATTTTAAAAAGAGGGACTGGACACTTCTCAATATAGTACATATAAAATAATATGAGCATTCTATTTCAGCACTACTAGACAAACTATGAAAGCTGTCCACACATTAGAAAGGAAAATCAGACTAATAATATCTTAAAAATCAATTATCGAACACTTACACAAGTTTAGGACAAAAAATAACACTTGAGTAACTTTAAATACTGAATGAATTACAGACTGAAAAAAAAGTTCTGGATATTTCACTGCGGCTGCATTACACATTCTAAGCAATGACGAAATCTTAAATATTACGTTTTTTTGGGTGTGATAAAAAATGAGATGTCGCGCACGTAGGTTACCTTTTCTGACATTAAAATGTAATTTTTCAAGAAGTGCACTGTCATCTAAACCACCACTAAACAGTTCTGTGAATAAAAGCCATCACAGGTACTAGTCAGACTTAGAGGATTACATTTCTTAAATAATTTTATACATGACATTGTAATATTTTATTTTGGCAGGTAGATGTATAATGATTCTTAAAGAATTTGAAGTTTTCACGGCGGTGAGTCTGAAGATGGCTGTCTTCTGGGTTGTTGCACCGTGTAGTCTGGTGAAAGTTTACCAACGTCGCGATCGCTCTGATGATGGAGGCAGCAAGCACCTCTTAAACGTTGGTAAACTTCTACCAGACTACACGGTGCAACAACCCAGAAGATAGTCATCTTTAGATTCTTAAATAAAATATGCCAAAATGGAACCCGGAAGTAATAATAATGAGTTTGTTAGTTTCATAACATAATGGAGGAAGACAACCAGAGAAGTTCAACAGTGAAGTGGAATAAAGAATACGATCGGTGACATAAAACCATAAATACATACGAATACAGAAAGACTAAGAATATGCAGAACAGCTGCAACGTACATAGCGCGTAACAAATAACTATAAATGCATAAAAAACATAAAAGATTTCTAAATTCATTCATGGACATGACAATGCCTAACATTTTTGTACCCGAGATATAAGATTCTCACGGTAGCGATATGAATAACTAATTTTCATTATTTATTGAACACTAATTACAAGATTTAAACCTTGCCCCTGAGGTACATAGTGCAGCAGATATTTATAAAATACATTTTCTTTTTAAAACGTGTTACATGCATTAAATAGATTTATTGTGAGGCATTACTATATTATTATTATTATTATTTCGTAGTTATATTTCCTTCTGCTTCTGGAGATCTTAGCAATTCTTATTTTGCTTGCTATTTTTAAGCCTTTAAAACAATTATAAACAAAGTCTCTGCTATTTTCATAACTATTTAAGTTGAAAGGGCGTGTTTTATATACAAATATCTAACAGCGTAAGCACTCTGAAAAAAAATGACCTTGGAGTTTGATTCATTACAATTAAATGATAAATAAACTATGAGGAATTTTATGAATGGACACAGAGCTAAATGATTACGTTATTAATTCATAATCCCACGCCGTGAATAACAAAGTATCCTAAGTATCAAACTCCTTATTTCCCACTCTTGTAGGGCCGTACCTATCAGCAACAGTTATCACAATCACTGCTTAGAATAACCGTTAACCACACTTAACATCAATGAAACCGCGGTTATTAAAGAATGGCTGAGCTCTAATCTTAACCTAAACTAACCTAAAATTGTAATGATATCCCACATAATTTCCCACGCAAAATCAACAAACTGTGAAGAAAATTAACGTTTCATACGGTAAGCATATTTACGACATTACTAAAGGCGACAAGTTAAAAACTGAGTTATTAATGTCTGCAACTACTACCAGCAGATGTTCGACTAATTAACATAGATTATAGATTATAAAACAAAACTATATGCTCTCAGGGCATAAACAAATCGAAAAGCAGGGCAAGGTATGCCAAACATTGGCATAGTAAACAATCAGATAAGTGTGAATAACCTCTCTAAATTACAATATTAATCATCCTTTCAAAGGACATAACACAGGATTGTAAGACTTCTTCGAAGTTCATTGATCGATACTAAGGTCTCCCAAGTCAGAGAAAATTAACAAACACTGCTATAAAGTTAAATGGTAACGGAATACGGAATAAGTCTGTGATCCGTAATTTCGAATCGTTGAGTGTTAGGAATCTCTTATATATAGAATCTATTAGAGTTGTTTACTTACGTACAACGCAGAGTCCCGTAGAAGCTTTAATCGTCCATCCCGGACAGCAGTAATGGCGATATTTTGATCGACAAACGTTCGGTCTGCAAAAGAGGAAACATTAATTACTTCCAAACATCTTTACACAACCACAAGATAAAATCTGTGACCGAAAACAATTTATGCCTTGAAACACGAAGACAGGGCGACGTTTTCTACTGTGAATTCATATTAATTTTTCTTCTATTATCCTATAAACAAAAACTTTCTGTATTCACTTTGTTAACTTGGAGTCTACTTCGCGTATGCTATCTTTAACGTTTCAATAAAAGCTTTTATTATTCCTTGTATTAGATTCATGTTTCTTGTGTCTGGCCTCATTTATAACACGTGTTCCCAATAAAGCTCGTTACGCCTATAACATTTTTAATTTCAGACATTAATAACAGACGCGTTTTTAAAATTAAATAATCTTAGCCCAACTGTTTATCTCAGAGTGACAAACTGTAAGAATTTCAAAATGTTTCACCAAATACGAATTCACACAAAAATCAACCTTATTTGGCCCACGGACCTCTAAAAATTTACGTTTTAATTAAGTGGTAATGATGTAGGTTACGAAACGTCTGGTCTTTCAGACGTTTCGCAACTATCTTTAACAGCAGGGCATTCACACGCAATACAAGACGGAAGTGATAATTAACCATCCTTTAAGATAAAAATAAAATAATTTATTGATCCTGTATTGCGTGGGTTTGTTACAACCACAGAGTGAAAACAACCACTGTACCTTGCCCACAGGCAGTCAGCTTTGCCACCTAGCACTCCAGTGAAATGAAGAATTTACAAGCCAACCGCACAGATATTAGATCCTGGCTGCACTAGAACAAAAAAGCTATAAGAACTGATGGTTTTAATAACGGTTATGTTACAACCGGTGTTGATCTTCCGATGATTGAGTCACATCAACTGTACTGGTCATTCGCGACTGACAATGTATCCAACCGAAACATAATAAGTCTGAAAATTGAATAAAAATTTCCTTGGATATTATCCATCGTCTAGTAAATATAAAACGTAAAACGTAACGTAAAAAATCTCCGGAGATAGGGATTAGCTCTATCTAGTGGGCCCAACTGTGTAGGAACCTGAAGACGGAGATAGAGTCCCATCTCCGAAACGTCGTTTTATATTTACTAGACGATGGATAATATCCAAGAAAAGTTTTATTCAATTGACTCTTCACCATCGACAAGAAGTTTTAGATTTGATATAAGTCTGAAAATGTGTACTCCAATGGCAAACATAAACTTTCCAAACACGTGCTTACGTGATTGACTTTGATGTTCATTTATTTCAGACACAAATGCATTGTTTCGAAGCTAACGCGCTAGAAGTATGCCAAGGTATTATGATTCCAGACTAAGAAACAGTTTTCCTCGTATTTCGTCAAATATTTATCGTACTGAAAAATTTTCATCTAAAATCTATTTATCATATCAGGTCGTATATCATGTTATGTCCTGACTGTTTGAAAGATAAAAACAAATCATCAAAATGGAGCAACTTGATATGCAAAGTCTGAAGATTTAGGTATACCAATGCATTACCATAATGATAATGAGTACAATAAAAACGCTGTTAAAGAGAAGAGCTGTGTGTAAGCTTTCTCTGCTTGTGTTCAAGTTTATTAGGGTCAATGGGAGTTGCAGTGATCCATGATGCAATAGTATATTCAAGTTTAGATTTTACCAAAGCAAACTTTAATATCAACAAGCTGTCAGCTGTGGGAAAGAAAAAACAATAGCCTAATAACCACGTGTTACCTGGCCTATTATCAAAGTGTCCGGGACTTACAGACAGATGCCTAAAGCAATATAAAGTAACAACCGATCACCTTAAGACCGGATTAGACCCAGCTTCCGAAACGTCGTACAAGTTATACTATTTTTTTCCGACAGTGAATATAGTCCAATATGCAACAGAATCTTCCATTCTGTTTACTCTATAATATTCGTCACACGCCTGTCCTAAATTACCACACTACATCAGAGGTCATCCAACTAAACTACATTTCGGAAGCACCCGGTTTGAATTCAGAATGTCGTTGTCACTAACGCTATATAATCTGAACAGCTGAAAGCAATGTTTTAAATAACCAATAAAAGACGTAACAATAATTTAAAACAATTTCCAGCGTTACTACCGAATGGTTAACACTTCTGCTACGGGATGTCCAGGAAAATATCTGTAGATCGGTTAACCTTGACTGATATTTTTCCTCGGTTTCTCTAAAAAAATTCCTGGATAACTCGTTAAATTACGGCATGAATCTTACTTTCTACACCCTTTCACATCCATTAATTACCTATCATTCGACGCCACACAGTCCGATCTAATGACAGCGTCGTTAAATGAATAAATATTAAACTCTTCATATTTCAATGTGATCTCTGCGGTTTGACGACAGTCGCTAAGATGAAGTTACCAGATACGCTGTTCACAGCTGTTACTTATGAAATACGTGTTCGCAGTTTTTAGTAACTGAAACGACGAACGGCATAAGATTCTAAACTCTTACAAGGTCCATCATGCAATGCCATCTACCTATATTTTTTTACTTAGTGTATATTTTCCTAAATCAGCGTCCTCTTCTCTTTGCACAAACCTACATTTTATAAACTTTCCGAAAAAGGCACATCATATGCGACATGATAAAAACCTAATTTAGAATCATAATTTATTTCATTAAATTATTTATTTAATATAACAATACTTTTAAAAATTAATATTTTATTCACGGTATTATTTCAAAATTTCAGTTATAATAACGCAATTTTAATAAAAATTAAATTCAGGTTTTCCTTATCAGCGTTAATTCAGATTAAATCTCGAAGATTAAAAATGCAAATGGATGTGACCTTCTTAGCCTTAACCTAAATCTTAAGCATGCATACAGAACACCCAAGAACTGGCTGAAAGACTTTAAAGGAGCACTACATTGTCTTGGTTTTTACGCCACCTTAAAAAAGTCTCATTCTTCATAAGGTAACGGATGTAATAAACAGTTCCAAATGTAGGCAAGTGGCAACACAGGGACATCATTTTTATCCTTCGGCAATTGTCTACGACTGCTTTTTCGACGTATTGTTTCATTAGCAACCCACAAAATGGGGCCATGGTGACAAGGCTGAAAAAACAATTATCGCCATATAAGTAAGAATGTAATATGCCTCAAGTGTGAAGTTTCCAAATACATTCTTTGCGATTTGTCAGCCCTCGTTTGTCTTGATGCGAATATATCGCACATTAAATATGTTGTTGACAGAGCTGATCAATAACGAAGAGAGTACACTGCAGTCATAAATTCTAAGGCTAACAAAGTTAATCAGCAGTGAATACACAGAATATTGAGGCATAAGTTATATTTATTTGTTTTTCGTCACACAGGTTATAGATCATGTGTAAAGACGTTTAAAATAAAAGTCAATTAAATAAAATGTTTATTTGCGACATTTAACAAACACGAAAATTAAGCACGATAGAAAAACGAGATCAAAACCAAAGATGATTGTTTGGAAGAAGAGATTTCAGAAACATAGACCACAAAGCAAAAATCTGTCCTGTAAAGATAGCTCGTTAGGGGCAAGTTATATTACCTCCACCCGCCAGAAAGGATAATTATAATAAACCAAAATACACAGAAATAAATGTGATTCCTAGCAGTGTAACTAGTTGGTGTTATTAAAAAAAAGTCACTTGCTCAAACTTCCATCAAGGAACGTCTGCATAAACTCTCCACTACTGTATGTGTAATATCGCAGGACAATGAACCAAAAACAACGTCTGTTTTCAAGTTTATATTCCAGCATTAGCAGAAGCATAGCATAAATTTTCGTCCTTAAGTTTTAATTGCATCCAATTATACTATCATTTTTCTGGAACACATTACAGTAAGTGTTTTATCGCTCCTTGTTTTAATAGAGCCACTTTGTGTCGTTAATTGAACTCCAAGAGGATATGAATACAGCATGTTAAGTAAGTGGGGGGCTCTTAAATAATAATTCACGTTTGTCTTGATAAGGCCGACCGCATGAACATGGGAAGGTTACCCTCACCAACAGAAATAAGGTGAAAAAATGTCCAACTGCACTTCACTTGCATTCCAGAGATATAAAAAAGTGCATCGAAACAGAACTCGCAGCTTGAAACTGAAAGTACAGACTTACTATCACCACTTTAAAACAGTGATTTGAACCACGAGGCCCGCCGGTCTTCCCAGTGTGGCCCGCGAGTGGACTCCACTAAAGATAAACTATAAATATAAATAAATAAATATATATATTGTGCTTAAAACGAAACTCACAAAATATTTTAAAGTAATACTCGCGTGATATTAAAATCACAAGCATTTATACCTGAAACAAAAATTACTTCATACATCCTCGTAAGTTAAATATATTCTGGTAGCTGTAATTAATATTTGATAATTCATTATTGTAATATGACCAGGTTGGTTGACAGCGCTTATTTTAACAACTGCGTCAACTACTATTCTCTGTGATTTGCTGCGATAAATCTTTTTATTGTGAAGGCATGATGTATTAAAATGGCTGTCATCTGGGTTCTGGCTTCACGTAGTCTGGTAGAAATTCACCGACGTTTCACAGTTATTTGCTGCCTCCGGTGCAGGGACCAAACACCTGTGAAAGTCGGTAAAACTTCTACCAGACTACGAGGCTCAAGAACCCAGAAGACAAACATTTCCATACTCAACACCGTGACAAACTCAAATCTCAGAATAAACTTATATCCTTATATGTGAAGACTGCGTACGATCTGGTTATAGCTTTATAATATTACAAGAAAAACAACAGTAAATTCAAATTTAACTCGTAATAAATACTTTGACATTATCACTGCCGGATTCGGCAGAATAAAGCAAGATTCTTTGGTTTTCTCCGTTCCAATCCGTGTTCGGCAGAACAAAACAAAAGAATGTGAGAATTTGTACTTCTCCACGGTATTCAGTTTTAAGCCGTGTACTGTCTTGTACGGAAGAACCCTTATTCTATGTGCAGCCAATCTGACTCTAACTTGACAT